CTCCACCAGCTTGCTTGAGGGTCACCGGAAGCGAGGAGGAGAGCCAGATGCCTTTAGAATGGTGCTCCCCACACTCCTCCAACCCATAAGGTGCTCCCCATCTCAATCTCTGCGCTCACTGACTCTGCTGTGTTGTGATTCTTGTACAGGGCAGCCGCACAGCTCCCAGGGCCACCCCACAGCCGAGAGGGCAGCAGCTGCCAGGCCCAGCTCAGGCGTCGGGCTGCAGCCGGAATCAAGAGGCTGGAACTGACCAGAGCCCACCGTCTCACCCCGATGAGTGAGGCTCACGGTCTCACACAGACCATGTGGGCTGTGGGTATGTGCTCAAGGTCAACACCACCATTTTAGTTGACTCCCTGCGTCTTTGACAGCTCCTAGTCAGAGGAGCAAAACCCATGTGCAACAGATTGACTAATAAATTAGAGTCCGCAAAGCCTCAGTCTCAGGCCTCTACACCCGGTAAGAGGTGGGGGCGCAACAGGATTGGATCCCCAAAGAAGAAATTCACGCTGTGAAAGCAAAGCCGACTTGCCCACTCTTGAGGGAACCGGCCATGGAAAGCTGGAGCGACACCTGGATCCCATAACTCTCGGAGATCCGCTCCCAGCCTGAGCTGTTTACAGTCGCCTACAGCAAACCAACATCAGCTGGGCGGGGATGGACGTCTGCCCACGAAGAAGCCGGGAGGTCAGTGGGAAAAAATTATTTTAGTCAATGTGGAGCCTTCATGTTTGGAACTTCTATCCAAACTGGCAATGTTCTCATGCTCCCCCCGTGCGGATGAGGCCCTCCTCCGAGGCTCACTTCCAGGGAGCTTGGGACGGGGGGAGGGGGGCCTAGGGGGTCACAGGGCTGATGAAGGGTCCCCAGAGAGAGGAGCCCCCATCCTGGGAACGCAGGTCCCCCTGCCGCGGATCTGCGCAGGCCAGCGGGATGGCTGACAAGAATAAGAGTGTGAAAGAGAGCAGGGAGGGAGGGTGGGGAGAGGAGAGAGAAAACGCTGTCTGTGTAGGAGTTGGTGTGAGCCCAGGTACACCCAGGATACTCACCCTGTGTGTGATGGTTTTGTTGAGAGCCCGACCTGCTTGCCACAGACTAACTTCTGGGGTGTCTGGGTTGTTAAGGACTTGGATCAGCATCTCCATGGGACACAAGTCTCACCCCGCCTAAGCACGTGCGTGGCTGATGCTAGTGACCCTCAAGGACTCCAGACACTGAGCTTTCTCAGTGCAACAAGGCTGTGGTGATCCTATAACCATGCTCGATCAAATGCACCACAATCTTTGGCCACAGTTCCTGTCACATCAAACTCAGGGACCCTCCCCGCCTCTAAAATAAGCTAGAAGTCTTGGAGTCCGACCCTGCTGTCCTCTCAGGCCAGCCCCGCTCGGGTCTTGAGCCTTTGTGCCATCAGCGTGAGGTTTCCTGTACTTGCTGCTTCTGCCCAAGATCACCACCCTGATTTCCTTCCAGTTGTGCAGGAAAGTGTCAAACACAAGTGCCGGAGCCCTCTGCCATGGTGGGGACAGCCATCGTCCTTGACAGAATGTGCGGGAGGAAGTATGCTGCAGAGGCCTGATGATATGAAGGACAGCAGGGTGGTGGCCTCCCAGGCCAGGAGTCTGGACCCATAACTGAGAGCATCTGCCCCAGGACACCATGAAGGGGAGACAAGATACCCCAAATAAACTTGTCACCCAATAGGGCTCAGCCCCGATGTCAGGGAGACGGAGCATGCCGGAGAATTCCCTCCAAAAGGACCACATTTGAATTTTAGTAAATCAGCTCAATATGGTCTAGGGTTGTGGGTATTCAATAAAAGAAGTCAGTGAAATCACCAGACAATAAGCTCTTTCAACACAATCTTTTTTTCTCCCCCCATCTGGGGACTTGAATACAGTTCATATGAATAAATCCTGTTGTGTAAAAGCTGGGGGAGAAGAAAAGAGAGGGTGGAGGATGGAAGGAAATGGCAAGATTCCCACTTGTGGGCCTAACAGGAAAGCTAAGACAGTCTCCAGGACCCAAAAGAATGCCAGGGAGCCAGAAAGCCCTGGCCAGCGGTGGCGACAGCCTGCAGTCAGGTGAGGAAGCTCCCGGAATGTCCCCACTCACACACACCCAGGTTCTCCTCCAGCGCCCTCCCTCCTTGCTTTCCAGCTCTAGGGCAGTCCTCAGCCTGGCCCTCCACAGGTGGCCTAGCCACAGCAGGGCTGCCCTGCAGTAGGGCAGCTCCTTTCAACAGTGCACAAAGGCACTTCCTGCCTCCTCCTCCCCCATCCTCCACCCCCAACTAAGTCAAGATGACGAGAGCCAATGAACGCACAGGCTATTCTCTAATTCCTCCCGAATACCTCCAAGAGCAGATGCAACAGCCCCGCCCTACTGGGTGTCAACACACCTGTGAGGAGGAAGTCAGCCCCATGAGTGGCAACCCAACATCATTCATGGTTGAGTGTCACCTAGGCCCATCATCCGGTCCTCCTGGACGGAAGCTCGACAGTCTTCCCGGAGCCTGCACTGGGAAGACCCAGCTCCCAGAATCTTAGAGTCAAAGTTCACCTGAAGAACAAGCCAACCTGACGTGGGCTTTGACTGTTTAAAAATGGAATCACCCTGCATCGATCCCCTTCATTCCTGTAAAATTCCACCTCCCCTCTCCCAGACTGGTTCAGCCAGGGCCGGAGCACCTGCTCTTGTATTACCAGGCTCCTCCCAGGCTGGAAACAAGGCATTGCCACCCCTGACATCACATCACCTGGGACCAGGTACACCGTTTGGCTAACTCATGGGTTCCCCGCCCGAGAGCAATCCCAGCTAGCAGAGACAAGCAGGAGTGCCGAGAACAGTCAGCAGAGAGAATTACGGTGCAGACTCAGCACTCAGTTCCAGCTCAGTAACTTTATTGGTGGAACAGAGACTTGCAAAAAGGCTGCATTAGATCCATGTGTGCATGGCTGCGGTGTTCCCAGTCTGTGCCAGAGCCGAGGCTTCTCTGTCCTGTCACTCTCCTGCACTTAGCCACTGCCTGGGCTTCAAGGAAACTGCCTTTCCTGTCTCTAAAAAGAGGGAGCGTTTCACCAACGCGTGGAACACTCCTAGTCAACAAGAGTCTGGCGTGGAGGATTCTGTGTGGCCAACGAGAGCTCTATCTTTTTGTTTTGTACCAAAAGTCTTCAACCTCTTCACCTGGACCTGCAGATCACAGCAGACATAACCACAGCGAGACCTCAGATTCTATTTACAAGCCATAAGGGGCCAACTTCGCACTTGATGGATTGGACATCAGACACCACAGCACCGCCACCTCTCGGGTTTATCTTAAACTCTGCTCTCTGGGTGGTAACCTGCCAGGGGGTGGGGGACCCTGCCCCAGTTAACTGCAGTTCTGAGTTTTCACACAAACCTGAGAGACCACCATCCCTGAGGGAGATGGGACAAACATTTCAGTCTCTCCAAACATTTCCCTCATCCCTTTTGGGGTCACTCTGCCCCCAGCCTCAAAACTAAAGACCTGCTCTCTTTCTCGCTAGTTATCCAGAAAGTGACAGACAAGAATCACACAGGGTGCAGGCTCTTGAGTGTGCCTTCTGTCACTTGCACGTTGTTGAGTAGCCCTCCTGCTTACTTATAGACTGTTTGTTTATAAATCTTGGACTTTCCTTGTCCAAGAGACGAAAGGACTGGTTCGAGGTCACTTTTAGCATGAAGATAAGTTTGGAGAAACTGAACTCGACTTAGGGCCTTTTAATAAAGCTGATGCCTGAAAATAGGGTGAACCACAGTCTCTGTCCACTGGGAATAAGGGGTTTCCTGGGATATGGGACTTTCAGTGGCAAAACCAGGAAAGTCCCAGGCAAACAGGGAGGTGGTGGCCTAGTGGGGAGCGCCCCTCCCCCACCCCCAGGTGCACCAGGCTGACTTTCCTTCTAGTCTCAGCAGGTTGCTGCGAGGGAGCTAGCAGCCCTCTACCTTTACTCCAGGAATTCAGCGGCAGGCCTGAGCGCCTATGCTGCGGGCAGATTGCTCCACCAGACCAGCAGCTGCCTTTGAAGTCACAGGAAGGGGCCCAAGACAGAAGAGAAGTCAAGAGTGTCTACAACACAGTAAGCAGGGCTTCTTCCATGGGTGGGGTGGTGTTCTTCTGCTCTGCCTCATGTTGAGCACTGAGAGACCAGGGGCAGCACAATCCTGCCTTGGCAGGGGGCATTATCCTGCCTTGGCATTAGGAATTAGCCTGGGGGAGGGGGGTGGCGGCTCCTGGGGTGTGCTCCATGCTCCCTCCACTCCTCCTTTCACTGGGGTTCTGGTTAGTTCGTGCCCACATGAACCAGGAGACTGAAGACTACAGAAAGATGCTCCCAGTTGTCACAGCAGAGGATGGATCTCACCTACAGGAATTTTCTGGGGCACCAGAGAAAAGTGGGGCAGGGGCAGGATGAGGTCTCCACAAGGATGAGACGTTCCTTGTCCGTCTCCTTTCCGCCGACATGGAGGTGGACCAGGGGGCTACCGCTCAGAAGTGGACTGGGTACACCCACTCAGCACGCCCAGCAGCCTTGAAAAGCATGAGATGGGTCTAACAGGTGCCCAATTAACTGTGAGGACCCCGCCCGCCTCCACAGAAAAACATGGGAGGATTCAGGGCCTCTGCTTCCTGGAGTGAGAGTATCGTCACCCCTTCTCCAAGGTCTCTACCAACAGCTCTTACAGGTTATTTCACCAAGCGGCCCGTGAGGCAGGTTAGTAACATTATCCTCACTTGTACAGATGAGGAAACAAGGCCCAGAGAGATTAATTGACTTGCCCAAGGTCACACAGCAAGTTAGTGGCGAAGGCCAGATTAGAACCCCGAGCCCCTGAGAGCTCAGGCCGTGCCCTGCTCCACGAGATCCCTCAGTCTCGGGTCCAGAGCGTGGGCAGAGGCAGGGCTGTGCCCTCAGAAGCCCTGGCGGTCAGGGGAGGTGCTGCAGGGGCACAGGCAGGCTCATACTCACAAGCAGAAACCTGCAGGATCCTTCTCTGTACCACCAGGCAGCAACACCCCTGTGCTGGAACAGACAGAAACACGGCTCGAGTCGGGAAAGCCCAGGGTGGCCCCCACGCACTGGCCTCTCCTTTTCTGGAATTTGGCTTGAACTTGTGCTTCCTTTTCCTCGCTGGACCAGGCCTGTTCTTGAGACCAGAACATGGGAGACTACGTGCGCTTGGGGCCTCGGTTCATTCATTCACTCACTCCTCAGCCATGTTCCCGGCAGCCACTCTGCGCTTGGCAACTCCCCAGGGCTGGAGACAGGGACACTTAGAGAAGAGAGACAAGACCACTATCTGGAAGGACTTGGATCTAATGGGGAAGAGACATACATACATGTAATAATTACAAGACAGCATGACATTAACTCAATGAACACATGCCAGATACATGATGTGCCAAGCACAGGTGAGGGAGAGGCTGGACTTCGAACAGTGAGGGAACAGAGGAAATCTGGGGGGACTTCATGGAAGAGGAGGCACATAAGCTAGGTCCTAAAGACTGTAGTGTTTCATTGAGCAGCTGGTCCTTCCCTGGCTAAAAGGGGTCTGAAGTTGTTTCAAGGACTTTTTTCCAAATAAACTTATTAGAATGGAAAACTCAGTTCTCTGGATTTTGTACCCTGTTTTTGACTGGGGGTGACAGCCTCATCTCTTTAGGTCCAATGGACTTGTCCCTCAGGTGGGGGTGAATCACCCTGCATGACAGAGGATAGCTGGGCTTCACTAACAATCTGTGGAGACAGGTTCATGCAAAAGTCCTTGAGAAGCACCCCACCCCCACCCATGGGGGGGGCAATGCATTCCCTTTCCCACTAAGTCTACTGCCTTCCAGATCTCAACAGGAAATTGGTTGTATTTATAAGACTCACAATCCTAATCTGACCTCCTTGGGCTCCACACACTCCCTCCTTCATTTTCCTCTCAAGACACATACATCCTCCCTTCAAAGATTCCTCAGTGACCACAAAGCAACTACCACCACACAGCCAGCTGCAGACAACTCCCCCAGCCTAGCTTCTTGATGGGGAAACTGAGGCCTAGAAAGCGTGGGACTCTGAGCCTAGGGAAAGAGCATCATGGGTCTCCAGTTCCCAAGCTGCAGAACACTCTACTTCCTGTCTCAGCCTGTGCTTGGACAGATACGCCCTGCCGGGCTGGGGCAAAGTCTCCTCTCTCTGAATGACAGCCATCTTTAGGGAAACACTTCCCATCATTAAAGGGATTTGGGAGAAACTGGCACCACTTCCTCAGCTTTGAAGAGCCTTGGCCTTCCTGGCCCTTTAATTGTGCTGGGAAGCAGCCTGGTTCCCAGAATCTCTGCCCTTTCAGAAGAGGAGAAGGGTCCCAAGCAGAATTTCTTCCCTCCCACCCTGGCCTTTCAGCACCAAAGGTGACCCCTCAATATTTCTGGTAGAGAACATTTCATTACCCAAGCATCAAGGGCTCCGGCACAAAGAGCTTCAAAGTCGGGAGGACTCAGGGTCAAGTACAATACTGAGCAAACCCAGAGCAGAGGATTCTGAAGCTTTATGTTGGTGACTGTTTTCAAGCCGTGTTCCCACAGCTTTGCAAAGCCTCTCATGGCTTAGGGTGAATGACATTAGCTTCCTGCAAATTGCACAAGATTTGGTTAAAGGGCATTGTGTGACTGGGAGGTGTATCAGTTCACTCTCCACTGGCTTTTAACGTTTCAGGTGAGGAAGGAGTGCATATAATTACCTATCTTTTCTTCAATGGTCCTCAACTCATCTGCTCATTAGAATCACCTGGAGACTTTTACAAAGCCACCACGCCTGAACAAAGCCCCAGCTAGTGAAATCTCCATGCTTTGAGTAGGGCCTATACACCTTTATTTTTAGCCTCCCCGATGGTTCCCAGGTGTGGCTAAGAACCACTGCCTGGGCTGGAACTTAAGCGGGGAAATACCTGAGCTCCCAGGCAAGGAAAATCAAGGAATACAGGTGATTCTTTTGAAGGTGAAATGAGCAGCATCCATCTCTTTTAATCTGCTTTTCTTTTTCAGACTTTCCCTGATCACAGATCTCAGGATTCCTGTAGAAGCCTTCAAGTACTTTTACTGGCTTGGTTCTTCATAACTCATGTGCCCCTTCCAGTTCCCTAGAACTAAGTCCCCCTCCTGGGATCAGGGTCAGACTTAGAGACAAAAGAACAGGGGGAAAGGCTACTTCATACTCTCCACCAATTACTGTGATCCAAATTAAAGTGACGATCTCAGCTGTGCCGGTTTGGCTCCAAGTGTGACGCAATTCAGGAAGCTTCCAGAAGGACATTCCAAGAGTGATCCACAGATAGTAGGTCAGTCACATTTGGCCCTGGACACACTCACCAGCTGGGGGAGCAGTAGCAACCAGAATGGGGGACCACATGGTATGGGTTCAGCCAATGGGCTCATGCACAGTGATCCCAGAATGCCTTTATGAGTCATAAATATGTAAACACCCAACGATGGGAACCTTGCAAGGCACTCTCAGAGGTTGGCCCTGCTTATACGACACCAAAGAGATTCACATACAAGATGTAAAACAACTATACCATCACGTTTTATGACAGCTCTCGTAAAAGCCTCTTTTGTCTACCACCTCCTTCCCATGAGGATGATCCATACCAAAAAGACCAGAACAACAAATGTTCACGAGGGTGTGTAGTAAAAGGAACCCTCATGCACTGCTGGTGGAGATGTAGCCAGTCCAGTCCCTATGGCAAACAACACGGAATTTCCTCCATCTACCACATGACCTAGCAATTTCATTCCGCATTTGTCCACAGATGGCAAAAACATCCAATAAAAGGGATGCACGCACAGCCATGATCACTGCAACACCATGTAGAGTAGCCCGATTCTGGAAACAACCCAAGCGCCAGCAGTAGATGAATAGGTAAAAAAGATACGGTATGTCCATACAATGGAGCAGCACTCAGCTATAGAAAGAGATGCAACAGTTCTAGATGGAACTGGAGAGGGATTGTGCTAAATGAAGTCAGGAGGAGAAAGACAAACACTGGATAATTTCTCTCATATGTAGAATAGAGACACAAACCAAAGGAACAACAAAGAACTCAGCCGAGCAAGCCCTAGAAGCAGGACTGCGGAATTGTGGCTGTAGATAGTGGGCATGGGGACCAAGAAGCGAGGCATTGTGGTCGTCTGTGCTGGAGGACTATGGTTGTTTGGGTAGTGGGTGTGGGGGGTGAGCCTACTCTCCTAAATCATTTACAGTACTGTTATCAACATTACCTTGATTTTAAAAATGTCATCTCTGTGGAAAAGCACTCCCATAAGCCTTCCCCATAATTCCCGCCTTGTTTTTGCTTAAGAGTCATGGTTGCCTAGGGAGTGGCGTAGAAGGGATGTGTAGAATATGTAAACAATGTTTCTGCTCAGCCATCAGGTGATATAAATCCTTTAGGTGCAGACATCTCTTTTACATCCTACAAAACAATGGAAAATCAACCTAGTACCTTACAACAAAAGGCTGGTTCTGAAGGGTATAAAAGGTCATGAGCAGGTTGAATATGGAAAACAAGTTCTACATTCATTGCTTGATACGACTTATAAATTAGAGAACACAGTCTGAAAATCTGGAGGCAGTGATGAGCCAATGGACCTATCTGGGAGAAGAAAAGCTCAAAATAGGGAATTTAGAATCACAGGTTTAGGCACTTAAATCACAATTCTGAAACATGTCCCAAATAACAAGATGACTTCTTGACATCTTGACAACCCAAGTAAATCATGCTTTCCCATTCAACTTTATCATTAAAGCTACTGTACAGAGTCACTCCATAATTTTTAGTATTATCTTGAAAATCAACCCATCTGGCTGGGTGTGGTACATATACATGGTGGAATATTATTTAGCAATCAAAAAGATAAACATGTGCCTTTTGCAGCAACATGGATGGTACTGGAAGGGATCACGCTTAGTGAAATAAGCCAGCAAGAAAAGGAAAAATACCGGATGGTTTCACTCATAGCAGCAGGAGCATAAAGGACCAGGGAAGAAAAATAATAATGATGAACAACTATATACCAGAGACATTTTACAGGGGTGGAGTGGGGAATGGGATCAAAAATGGGGGGTGGGGGAGGGAAGTACACTGGACTATGGTGATCGCACACGAGTGATTTGGTGATGGGAAGCCCACAGGGATTACAACTGAGATGGAAAAAGGCACAAAATGATGTAAAAAATAAACTATTATAAAAAAAAAAACAACCCATCTGGGCCCCTCCTGCTGGCACAACAGGTTAAAGCACAGCACTGCAAAGTTAGCCACAACCGCTTCAGCACAAGGATGATCCCTGGCCAGGGAGGTGACCCACATGGTGGGCACACTTCTCTTGCCTGGCTTGCTGCTCCCCTCATCAATCTGCCTACTCTATCGCTAGTGAATCTTCTCATTGTCCCTATACTCCAACTCTGTATGCATAGATAAATAAATCTTAAAATAAAAAAAGGCCCCCAAGCTCTACTGAGCAAGCGACTACAGATTCTAGTTAGTGCCCCTGGTTCATCAGACGGAGCCCAGCCACTCCACATAGCACAGACCAGCTCTTATCTGAAGCACAAATTACCCACTGCTCAAAAGAATAGGTAATTTGACATGTGGGCTTCCCAAATTCCTCAGCTGAAAGGTATAGTAAAGTATAAGCAGCACTCACTAGTGAGATCTGAAACGGAAGTTGGGACCCAAAGACCAAAGAGGAGGTAGGTTAGCCTCTGCCATCCAGAGAATCTTCAAATGTGTTCACCTGCCACTTTTCTGTCTGTAATGCACATGATACATAAGCATTCTGAACTGGAAACCCTCTTTCAGTTAGCAAAAAGCCCCTAAGTGATCTTTAAGGAGAGCATGGGAGAGCAAGTGTAAGGATTCTGAACTGCCAAGAGAAAAGGCTAAGAAGACTTTCTTAAGTCTAGGGCCAAGCCAACCTATTAATTCTACAACCTTCTGACAATAGGACGTTTGGGAAAAAGGGCCCCG